CCTCAGCTGAGTAGTTAAGACTACAGGCTTACACCACCATGCTAGAACAACTTTTATTTTTACCTTTTTTTTTTTTTTTTTTTTGGCGGCACTGGGGTTTGAACTCAGGGCCTCATGCTTACTAATCAGAAGCTCTTACTACTTGAGCCACTCCAACAGCCTTTGTGTGTGTGTGTGTGTGTGATATGTTTCTCAAGATTGAGTTTCATGAACTATTTGCTTGGGGCTGGCTTCAAACCACGATCTTCCTGATCTCTGCCTCCTGAGAAGATAGAATTACAGGCATGAGCCACTGGCACCTGGCTAGAACTATTTTTGTTTTTATTTTTTAGTGTTTTCAGTTTAATTTTTCAATACACAACATGAGGCAAAGGATATTCCATACTACTCCCCCTTCACAGATGACGTTTAGGCATAAGAAGAATTAAAATGTACATATGATCAAATAGATAGATCCAAGATTTAAGATCCATATATATATTCTTGAATCCAGGATCTATGCCATTAACCATTATCTACAAAAAAAAAAAAAATACAGAAGAATTTTTAAATAGAACGAATCTTTGAGTTTAAAGTAGAAAAGTCCAGATGTTTAGGTTGAGCACATAGCTCAGTGGTACAGCACTTGCCTAGCATGCCCAAGGCCCTGGATTCCATCCCTAGTACCACAAAGAGAAAAATACAAAAGTTTAGCAGTTTAGTTGATAGTCTATAATCTCATGGTCCAAGTCTCTAATCAATTGTTTTGGTCCTTGCTGAGGGCACTGATCCGTTCCAAATTATAAGCCTCCTCAGCTTGCCAAAAGACAACCATATTAGTGTTGATGGTGGAGATTCCTCTCATACATAGGATCAAGAAAACTGAGGCTGCTGGCGATGTAGCCTAGGGTTTTCTGGTGTTCCCATCCAATTGCAGAAAAGCATATTTTAATTCAGACTATGAGATATGTATGTCATGCTCACTGGGTAGATTTACAGAGAGAACACTGGCTATAGTTGCTTCTCCTTTTGATGGACATAACAGTGAGATTCCTGACAGTAGCAAATATGCAGTGGTTAAGATCTCAGAGGCTACATACTAGCAAACTGAAAAACGCAGATGTGTTCAGCTCGGTGGCCTGAAATCACGATGCTATTTTGCACTGTGCAATTCAGAAACTAGAAAAAGACTGCCAAGATATTTATCATTCTGAAATATTTGTATAAGGGAAGAATTTATTTACTCTGAGTGAAAGACAAAGTTTCCTGAAAGGTAATTGTATGAAAGAGAACAAGATTGACGTTTACATTCATAGGAATACATTAATCCCAAAAGTCTTTAATAAATCATGACCCAATTCTTTCTCCTTTTACTACATTTAACCTTATTTTTGGCCTTTGTTCATAATAATAATTTTCTTCTCTTCCTAGCTCCCCATCTTCCTTAGATCATGTTGTGTACATAAGTGTAGACCATCTGTCCTTCCAAAAGGCTGTTCCTTCACTCAACAAGGGACAGGGTGGGAACAAGAGGTTCATTGTGGATAGAAAGCCAGGAAATATCTTGCAGACAGTTTTTTGGCTCCTCTTTTCTGACCTGCAGCCCCCTGGGGATCAACAAGGAAACAACAGCTTGTATCAGTTTGAGAAAGTGGCAGTGACTGCGGCAGGGAATGTGGTAGGCTGCTCAGCGTTCCTTTTAAACACAGGAAAGCAAGACAGATGGTGGGTGGTGTTCTGAAATGCACACATTTTGTGCCACGGGATCAAACAATGGAACTTCTCAATTGTCATTGAGCTAGAACATATGAGATTCCAACATAAGTGGAACATACATTTAGCTAAGTAAAATGCAAGGCAGTGATTCAAAATGCTCCCAATATACAAGTAGAAGTTTTCTACATTGTGATAATTTGGTAATAAACTGTGTCTTTCCCCCAAAGTCCCTTCCTTGACCTTGGGTTTTGATTGCATGCACACAGCACTCTGAGAGTGCACCCACGGGATTGTCAAGGCCAACAATTCATACTTGACCCCAAAGCCATGTTACATCTAGCTAATGCACTTGAAAATTTAACCCTAATGAAGGTCCTTGAGATACTACCCACAAAACTCCCTTGGCTTAGTATAGTAGATCTTCAAACAAAAGTAGGATTAAAAAAATCAGGCACTTTTGCCTCAGAAGACCCTACAAACCCAAACAGAGAGGTGCTGCCAAAAATTATAGAGCTGGAGTAGTAAGGTACATGAAGTGGGACATGGACAAGTCAAATCTTGTCATTTTTTAAGCACTTTCAGTTCCAGTTACTTAAAATAATAATACTAGGGAGGCTGAAGCAGATAACCATACTAGGGAGGCTGAGGGAGGAGGATAGTGAGTTCTCAATACCAGCCTGGGTTACCAAGCAAGACACAGTCTCAAAAAAATTTTTTTTAATAATAATAATCTTACCCACTACCAAAAGCCAAGCCCAAGTTTTCAAAGAACATTAGTAAAAATGTTATTTTGAGCATCAGAATTGATGAACCTCCACTAGAAATTGTCTTTGAAACTAACAGGTAAGGCTCTACCTCTATGGAGCATGGAGCATAAAGGCCTTTCAGGGTCTTGAGCAAGCAGCAGCTGCTACCATTTTATGAACAAGAAACATTTCAATATCAAATCTATCTTGTGGGACAGGGCTGAAACTCAATGCAAACATACGGGTTTATCCCACATCTGTGAAATCCTCCAGATTAGAGAGAATAAGCTCTCTAAACTGTGAAAACTTGTCTGGAGAACAGAGGCCACTATTTTGTTTTACAAGAAACCCAGAAGTGAGCTTTGTAATTTCACCTTTTGCCCAAGTATCAGATTTCACTGGAAATCTTATTTAAATATTGCCAAAAGTACGCCCACTTGCATAATTTTGTCAGTCCTCCGTTTTGTTTCAGAATGGTAAATTGAGCCATAAATCAAGCTAAAATTGAATCCTGAAAACTGTTGTTATTGTCAAAAATTAATCAGCTCTACAGAAGTGATGGTGTGGCAAATATGAAATATTGAGTGGTTGAGTTGAAAAGTAGGCTTTCACTTAGTATTGATGATGTTGATTTCTTTGCAAATAGCTTTGCTTCTCACTTAAATATGACTCATAAGCCCCATGGCTGTATTTATTTATCCTGAACAACACCGTGTTGTCCTACAGGTTGTTTGTGTACTACTATTTTGAAGTAGGAAATGGTGTGATATTGAGAGATAGTCTTTGGATTCAGATAAGGCTGTTTCAACCCCAGATTATCACATGTACCTGCATGTTGCTCAGTTTTCTTATCTGCAAAAAGGAACTAATAATTGCTCCATAGAACTGTCAGTGATTATAGCTAGACACAGTGGCTTATGCCTATAATCCTAGCTACTCAGGAAGCTGAGACTGGGGGAAGTCATGGTTTGAGGTCAGCCCAGGCAAACAGTTAGTGAGATCCCATCTTAATCAATAAAAGCTGGGTAGTATGCACCTGTCATACCAACTAGTTGGAAAGCATAAATAGGATTATAGTCCCAGCTGGCCCCAGACATAAATGCAAGACCCTATTAGAAAAACACCTAAAGCAAAAAATCATGACTCAAGCAGTAAAGTGCCTGCCTAGTAATCACATGGTCCTGTTCAATCATCAGTACTGCCAGGAAAAAAAAAAAACTGTCAGTGATTAAATGAAAGAATATATAGGTCTTACCTGACCCACGGCACATGCCCAGCAAATGGTTGCTATTATTAGTATAGCAAGTATAGTTCTTGAGGCTTATTCACTGCCATAGTCTCATCAGTGAGGAAATAAGATGTATATCAGTATATCAATCTATCAAGCCAACTGAGGGATTGATAATTAAAAGAGAATTTACTCTTTACTATTTTATCTCCTTCCTTTATGTGTTCTACATATGTCTTCTTTTCCTACTAGATTTGAGTAAGATCCCTAAGGACAGAAGCATAATTTTCTCCTTTCCTATACCCTACAATGACAAACGCAAGTGCTAGTGAACTAGACGACATTCAGGAAATACTCCTTGATGTGACCTTTTTTAGCAACATCTTAAATCTACGTATAACCCCTCTCATAAGAAAGGATTAGGCCTTGCCATATAGCAATCTGGACATTTCCTTCTGTGATATCCCAATAAAACTATGAAGCAATTATACTTGAAGATTGTTTTGCTTTCTAATTGATTTCTGGGTCCATATTTAGCTATTATATTATTTATGTGTTTATAAGTATCATTAACATTACAGCTGGGACTGAGATAGCTTTCTTGTCTCATTTTTAAATGAAAATCTTCGTTTTCTAATATCACTTAGATTAGCTAGAGATCCTTTATACTTAACCTTTCCATCTGCATATGTAATGATTTTTCGATAGCTTTGTGGTTAGCAAGTCTAATGAAAGCATCCTACGCTCTATGCAGTTTTTTTCCCTAAGCTCTATTGATGCCCTAGGATTAAGTTACCATTTTGGAGAAAACTTGAAAATACCTTACTCATATTTGAAATCCGTAAAGATCTAAATACATAACAATATTAAGTACATATGAAGGAAATGTAATTGATGAAATTTGTAACAATTAGCTGTTAAAGCTTCTCCAAGAGTCAGGGACTTGAATGATCATAGACATATTATCACTAATAATAACATGAATTTATGTGGAGCTCTAAATTGGTCTTATCCTCACAAGGATGTTCCTGGCCTGTGAGGGGTATGAAAGGCTATAGGACTTCTATACAGTGCTATAAAGTGCTATAGCACTTCTGGTACAGTTCTGTTATGTCCATGAGGAAACTGAGAACCAGAGTAGTTGGACGACTTACCTAAAGCCATAGTTAATGGTAAATCTGGGATATAAACCTAGATCTGTTTCTTATTAGTTTTTTCAGGTCTTTTAGAGAATTATAACTGTCAGTTGTTCTCTGTCATCTAACATAATCATTCCACGTCAAAATACTTTCTGTTTGGCTCTAAGAACACTCTTTCTGTTTCCCTGCCAGTTTGAACGCCATGACCCTGTGGATGGGAGAATTACTGAGAGGCAGTTTGGTGGCATGCTGCTAGCCTACAGTGGAGTACAGTCCAAGAAGTTGACTGCCATGCAGAAGCAGCTCAAGAAGCACTTCAAAGATGGAAAGGTAGGTCACTTTGGCAGTGGGAGTAAAGAAACCATGGGAATGTCTGACTTCTACAAAGGCACCAGCATAATGACAGTGTGTTGTGAACCAATGATTACAACTAATTAATCTCTCCTACCTAAACTCCAAAGAGAGAAATCATAAGCAGTGGGTAAGAAAAAGGAGAGTACAGAATAACTTGAGGTTTCTTGTTCAGATAAAGTATGGCACAGTACACTGAGAATGAAAATTTCAATAGAGGCTGGTTTGGATGCAAAGATAGAGTTCAGTTGTAAGCCAGGCTCCGGTGGCTCACATCTTTAATTGTAGCTACTCTGGAGGATTGAGGTCAGCTTGGGCAAAATAGTTTGCAAGACCTATCTCAAAAATACCCAACACAAAAAAGGACTGACAGAGTGGCTCAAGTGGAAGATCACCTGCCTAGCAAGCCTGAGGCCCTGGTTCAAACTGCAACAAAAACAAAGAGTTCAGACTCATTGCAGATGTCTTGAACTTAAGACGGCCTTGGGCTGTCCAACTCAGGAGGCAGCTAATTATTCAGTCTACCTCAGAGTGCTGAGCTACATTTGGGAACCATCAACACATGGTTAGAATTAACATTTTTAGAACAGAAGGGATTTCCCAGGGAGGACATTATACAGAAAAAAAACATGTGGGCCAAGAGTAGAATCCAGTAGAATATCAACAGCAGCTCAAGAAGGAAATCTACAAGAAATAATTAGAGAAATGCCTAAAGAGAAGAGTGAAATCAGAGCCAAGGAAGAAAGAATTTAGGAACTGAGGAGTTTATGATGTCACATGTGACAGAAGGTCCAGTAGGATAAAGATGAAAACATTTGTTGGTTTCGGTGAAATGGCAGTAACCGATGACCTTGGGATAGCTGTTTAAATAGAGTGGTCCAGTTGGAAGCCATGTTAGATGAAAAGTAAGAAAGGAAAGGAAGAGGAGGGAAGCAGAAAAGTTGGAAGAACGAAAAGGAAACTCTAGACAGAGGGAAATTGTATATGCAAAACTCTGAGGCAATTCATTGTAACAAAACACCACATACTGAGTGGTTTTAACAACAGAAATTTATTTTCTCATAATTCTAGAGACTGTGTGTTCTCCAAGGATCTCTCCTCTGTACACAGGGAGAGAGAGAGAGTTCTTATGTTTCTTTTCTTTCTTTTTTTTGGTGGGACTGAGGGGTTTTTGTTTTTTTGTTTTATTATTTTATTACTCATATGTGCATACAGTGCTTGGGTCTTGGTAATCTACTTTCTATCTGTACTTAAGTCCTGACCCAATATCAGACATTCTTTATTGTTTTTAATTTTTATTTTTTTATTATTCATATGTGCCTACAATGCTTGGGTCATTTCTCCCCCCTGCCCCCACCCCCTCCCTTACCACCCACTCAATACCCGGCAGAAACTATTTTGCCCTTATCTCTAATTTTGTTGTAGAGAGAATATAAGCAATAATAGGAAGGAACAAGGGTTTTTGCTGGTTGAGATAAGGATAGCTATACAGGGAGTTGACTCACATTAATTTCCTGTGCGTGTGTGTTACCTTCTAGGTTAATTCTTTTAGATCTAACCTTTTCTCTAGTTCCTGGTCCCCTTCTCCTATTGGCCTCAGTTGCTTTTAAGGTATCTGCTTTAGTTTCTCTGCATTGAGGGCAACAAATGCTAACTAATTTTTTAGGTGTCTTACCTATCCACGTATCTCCCTTGTGTGCTTTCGCTTTTATCTTGTGATCAAAGTTCAATCCCCTTGTTGTGTTTGCCCTTGATCTAATGTCCACATATGAGGGAGAACATACGACTTTTGGTCTTTTGGGCCAGGCTAACCTCACTCAGAATGATGTTCTCCAATTCCATCCATTTACCAGCGAATGATAACATTTCATTCTTCTTCATGGCTGCATAAAATTCCATTGTGTATAGATACCACATTTTCTTGATCCATTCGTCAGTGCTGGGGCATCTTGGCTGTTTCCATAACTTGGCTATTGTGAATAGTGCTGCAATAAACATAGGTGGGACTGAGGTTTGAACTCAGGGCTTTGCACTTGCAAGGCAGGTACTCTACCTCTTGAGCCACACCTCCAGTCCATTTTGCTATGTTTATTTTGAAGATAGGGTCTTGAGAACTATTTGCCTTAGGCTGGCCTTGAACTGCAATCCTCCTGGTCTTATCTATCCTCCCAAGCAGCTAGGTTATCAGTGTGAGCCACTGATACCCAGCCTGAGCCCGCTCTTAATTAAACCCATGGTAAAGTTGTGCCTAGAACTCTGTATGAAGTTGTCTCCCTCCTACCTAGGAAGACTCAAACAATGCAGGCTCTGTAACAGAGAGACCGGGCTTGTCCAAGAACAGCTTTTGAAGAATAGGGACTCTTCAGTGTGAAAAGAGAGAGTCATGAGTCAGGTCCTGAAAGTAATCTAGGAAAAGGAACATTGCCCAGTGTTTTTGGTGTTTCTTATAAAGATAGTAATCCTATCACATTAGGACCCTCCCTTATGAGTTCATTTAACCTTATTATTCCCTTTGAAGTCCCATCTCTAAACCCTACACTGAGGGTTAGGACTTAAACACATGAATTTGGAGAGGTGGGGAAGGAACACAAAATTTCAGTCATAATTAGCAGGAAAGACAAATCTGGCATGTGTGAGGAACTGAGTGGGGATGACTATGGTTTGAGCATACTAGTCAATGAGGAGAATGGCCTGAGATAAGATGAGAGAGACACATGTAATAGGCATGGAAGGAGAGTACACTATATTCACAGTGCAAAGAGAAGCTACTAAAGAGTTGAGTAGTAAAATGACATGTTTATGTATATGTATAAACAGCCTTATGAGGGCATAGCAACACATACCTGTAATCCTAGCAGAGGCTGAGGCAAAAGGACTGAGTCTGAGGCCAGCCTGGCTACAAAAGTGAGATCCTATCTCAAAAAAAAAAGAGAGAGAGAGGAAAGGAAGCTAGGAGGGAGGGAGGAAGAAAGGGAGGAAGGAAGGAAGGAAAGACAGCCCTGTGTATGGGAAATAGTTTGGAAAGAGCAAGTACAGAACAAAAAGACTGACAGTAAGGTTATTAGAGAATTTAGGAGGCAATGAGAAAAGGAGCCTTTTGAGTAGTACTGAGATTAGAGATCATAGTCAGCACTGCTGTCTGATATTCTTCAACACTGGCTCTACCTGGTGCAGGAAAAGAAAAGGGTAGGTGGTGGGTTTTGCCAGCAGGTGGGATGAACAAACTGAAGCAGAGACCTGAGACCTCTAAAAGATCACACACACACACACACACACACACACACACACACAGAGAGAGAGAGAGAGAGAGAGAGCGCAAGCGAGCATAGTGCTTGGGGTAGAGTAGAGCACAGTTTTTCTCATTTCAGCCCTATACTCTTCCTACTGGTCATGAACAGACTGGCACTAAAAATGTTCTATGAGAGATTACAATGTTAGAGTGATGTATTAGACATGAAGCTTCTTAGAAGACTTGACTCTTCCCTTTTGTTGGAGGCATAGTGTCTGCATTAGAAAACACTCCTTTATGTTGACAGATTTTTTTTTTTTGTCTTTGCTTTTGGGAGGTTCTCATCATCTTAAGAATAGAGAAGTTTGTCCTAGGTGCTTGCCATAGAACCATCCTAGCTTTAAAGACTCAATAACTGAATATAAGAAATAGAATAGCTAGTGTTTGTTCCAGTTTTCATAGTCTTTGAGTATAAATAGCATTATAAATTATATAAATAGCATTGCTCTAAGTTGGTGGAAAGCACTTATCAGCTAGGCTTTTTCCTCCTTGTCTTGGATATTGAAAGTCTAAAAGGACCTCTGAACCAGGCTCTGGGCTGCAACTGAGGACGGGCTGGGCTCTGAGAGAAAGCATCAGCTTCTCTGAATTCAGTCCAGCCTCTTCCTGCAGTAGGTATGCTCTTGGCTGAGGGGTAAATGTCATTAGTGAAAAGTGAGAGAAAAATTCTTCTCTCCCAGAAAGCACTTCTATACCACCCATTCCCCAGCTTATGTTTATGGAAACTGAAATTTCAAAAAAATTGATTGTGAATGTTTCAGTGGATTTTTTAGCCCTTTGCTAGAAGCATAGTGTTTACATTAGGAAACACTACTTTCTATTGATGATTTTTGCCTTTGGTTTTTTTTTTGGGGGGGGGTGGGATTGTTTGTGTTTGTGCTGGGCCTCACAGATGCTAAGCAAGTACTCTACCACTAAGCTACGTCACTAGCCTGACCAGACTTATTTTTAAAGGTTGGTCTAGACATTGATTTGACCTTAAATTAGCCATCTGTCATGATAAGCTAATTCACATTTTATTATGAATTTGTATTTAAGAGCAATAAATTGGGTGTTAGAGGCATCTCTGTTGAAGGAGTAGAGTTGCATTAGCTTAGGCAGGAGTTAATTTAAGACCCAAAGACCTTGCAAAAGAGCTCTGAAGTAAAAGGACAAATTTTGTGAAATTGAAAATCTAGGGTGCTAAATTACTTCTGGCCAGAATTTCTAACCCACTTAGCTGGGAGATTAAGATTGATTGTCTTAGTTGTGAATACAGCAATTAACTAAAAAGAGAGTTAATAAAGGGCCTTTCTCCTAAGGTTATCAGTCCATATCTCTAGAACCATTTCCCATTTAAGGGAAATCACTATCTGCTTTTTAATTGCTTCTTTTATTCCACTTTGGATTGTTAACATGAAAATAAGTTTTCATTATCAGTTTCTGAGTGAGGTTCAATATCAACATATCAAAGCTGGTCAAAAAGATTGAAGGTCCTAGTGGTGCATATAACCTAATGACCATGCAGTGCTTCACAGCCATTTTTCTCTTTTTGTCTTTCTAACAGTCTTGTTAGGCATTCTGGCTCCTTTGAGAATATAGAGACAGAAAGAGAAACTAATGGCCCACCCAGAGTCCAGACTAAAATGCAAGGCGGGTTCCTACTGTAAGTCTCCTTTCCATAGCAAAGTGCTCTTTCTCCCAAGCATAT